TCCTTGAATTGGGCTGCCAGCATCTGTGAGTGGCTAGCGATATTTCTTTTTATAGGAACTCAGGGAGAAAATAAATAAATAAAAATCCGTGCTTTTGTAAAGAGAAAGCAGCAGCAAATGAAACTGCTTGGAATGGAGCCTCCTGCGCTGTGCAACCTCCGGTCTTCCACAGGCTCTGCCATTTCAATTTTTGGGAGGTCATCCAAAGGTAGATGGCCATTAAACTATAGGCAGGGAAAGGAAGAGGTGAGAGAAGTGAAGGGGGAATGAAGGGACCCCTGACAGCATGGCTCAGGACGGGTGGCATCGTCCCAATGTTAGGGTTCTTTCCCAAGTTTGGCAGTGTCGTTTGAGTTGTAATATTGGATTAGAGCTGGGGTAAGCACCAGTTCCTTTTCTTTGCAATTTCTCACATTTTAATAGGATAAGAAAGCAGAAAAGTATTAAATTAGGCACCAGCATGTCGTCTGATACATTTTAATTGAAACCAAAAGCGCCCATAGCCACTGTCAGTTTCCGAGGTCTCTGAAGAAAAGGCCCCCTTCCTGCTTGCATGTATGGCAGCGCCATCGCTCTTGGCCAGCTCCATATTGCTCTTATTTCTTTAGGTACATGCTAACGCCAGCTGATTCAAATTACAGAAAGAAAGATCACCTAGGAGCTGCCGTGGAAAGCAAATTAAAACTACCGCCCTTGGTTTCATTTGAGACATGAGAGGAAAAGTGTTCCTGGGGCTTGGTTTCTCTTAGCCATTTAAAGACTTCAAGGAAGGGACCTTTGGGGTCACGGCAGTCTTGTTTCTCTGAGTCTCTTGAGTAGTGAGTTTTATACTGTAGTAAGTCCAGTGGCTAACTGGCCGCAAAGAGAGATGAAGCAACAGCACCTCATGTTTGGGGCTGGTGCTTCCGGCTCGGCCTGGAGGAGGCCTGGTGAAATTTCCCTTAGCCAAGAAGGTTTTGAGCCTTTGATGTTTGTGTGGTTTCCAGCACGGCCAGAATGGGGTCCCTGCTGGCCAATGCCCTGCTCTCACGGTGACTGGCACGGCATCTCCTGGACAGTCCCATGCTTGCACATCACCTTTTATTAGCAGAGATTATCCTGCGTTCCTAAGGACAATGGCAGACAGCCAACTTAGTGCTGGTGGGGTCACAAAACTCAGGCATCCCCTGAAGCCCTGGGATCCAGGCAAGACAGCTTCTGTTGTTTATTCTCTTTCATCTGTTCAGCTCTCTTCTCTGGTGCAGGGAACATTTGGTCTCACAAGCAGTAGCTCAGTGAGGCCTCCTGTTCATAGATTTCTGGCTTTCTTGGGAGTCTGCTTTCCTTCCCTCTGTCAGCTCTCCTTCAACCTGAGCTCCGCTGTCAGATCAGTCTACCTGGACCTCTGGGGGTTGGGAAGCATTTCCAGAGCCAACAACTACAAAAATGGTGACTACTTTTCAATCAATGAATCTAATTTTTACTTGAAACCTCCATTTCTACTTGACTGACAAATGCACAGAGAATTCTCAGCAGCCATTCCAGGTTTAAATTCAGTGTTCTCTCTTTTTTTCCTCCCCTCTGGTGCTGTGTGTCAGGCCTGGGGTTCAGAAAGCGGTCCTGCCTGTGTCAGAGCAGAGCAGGGGGTGGGGGTGTGGTCTCACCTGGCGCCAACTCAGATTTCTAGTATCCTCGTCTGGGGCCTAGGAAAATTCAGGCCTTTACTGCGTCTTCTCTGCTCTCGGTTCCCATGTGTCACTTGTGCCAATTCCACTGTGGCATATCGCATATTTCTGGGGTTTGCCAAATACCACAAATAAGCAGGAAAATCTCTCTATAATTATTTTAATCCTAGCTAATCCTAGAAATGATACTTGTCATTCTTCTGCTTCCAAAAAGGCACACAGGCCCCTTCTCAGGGACTGGCCACGTTCTAATGCATCCTGCCCAGGTCATCTTTTTATCTCACTTGCAAATTTGTTGGCCCGGGCTCTTCTATTTCATTTGCTTCACTCTCCTGCATCTAACATGAACTTTATGCACAATTTCCTTCAGGAATCCATGTCTGAATTCCAAAATAATTCCCCAGCAAATCAACAACCTTGCTGCAAGAACATTATCTCTGCAACAAATTCTAAAAACAAAACAAAACAAAACAAAACAAAACAAAACAAAAACAAAAACAAAAAAAAAAAAACCTTGTTTTGGAATTTAAAGCCAATGATTTGATTTGGTTTCTCCCAAGGTAATAACTGTTCCTTGGAAACAGGAGTGCCGGTAAGAGCTCAGAGATCACTCCCTAGACTTGGGCTAGGTGCTGCAGGTCACTCTAGAATCTCTGACATTTTCTACCAGTTCTCTCAGGCCAGGTCCAGCCTGCTCTGCTATGCCCCAGCTGGCCCTTTGGTCTCAGCACACAACCCTGCCCACTGTGGTGATTTCTGCCTCTACGCCCTTCCTCAAAGTGCCTACTTGCCTGAAATACCATCTCCCTGCTATCCCTACCTGTACAATCCCTGTGCATCTTTAGAATCCGGTGTCAGAACAAAATGTTCTGATACTGTCCTTTGTATCTACTCTAATTTTTTTTTTTCTCCCTGAGCAAATAACAGCTAGTCTGGTCTACACTCACCTGCACCCCCAGATTTTAATTATAATTTGGCTAATATAAAGGATTTTTTTTTTGTTGTTCCTCGAATGGCTTCAGGGCACTTTTGGCCAGCGGGAGAGTTGTGAGGTTCGAACTCCAGCAACCTGAGGCTGAGAGGTTTGTGGAAGCAGCCACTTAAAGGCCTGAGCTAGGGCCATGCCCCCATGGCTAATATAAAATGTTTGCTAATCACTTTAAATTTGTTGGTCTTGTTTCCAGAAATCATTCTAGGACATTCAGGAATAAACCCATGTGACTTTTTTATTCTCTGGAGTAAAAACAAAAGGCTGTAACACTGTCACTCAGCATCTCTGTTGGCTGAATGGTGGGCTGGCTGGCTGTGGAAAATAACTTACCTGAATTAGCCTGCCCTGGAGTTTTTTTTGTTTTGTTTTGCTACTGGGGATTAAACCTAGGGCCCTCTATCCAAGAACTATACCTCAAGGCCACCTGCCCTTCCTTCCTTCCTTCCTTACAATTTTAAGACAAGGTCTTGCTAAGTTGAGCAGAGAGTCTTAGAATTTTTGATCCTCCTACCTCGACCTCCTGAATAACTGGGATTACCCCATCTAGAGTTGAGAGCCACATGGCATGACAGGAGTGCGGATCAGTAACACCATGAGGCCCTGGACTCTTACCATGAGCCAACTTCCACGCTACTTCACCCAACCTTCACAACAACCTAATAGAACCCTGGGTTACTGCATTCATTTTACAGATTTAAAACATGAGGCTTTGGCAGTGATAACTAATGTAGGCCCGCAGACTAGCAATAGGCAGTTTCAAACAAGATCTGTCCATACCAGTGTCCACTAGTGGCCACTGCCTTCTCCCGGGCAGCTCTGGCCTTTGCTTCCCTGAGAAGTGTGTGGTCTCCTTGGATTCTTTTGAACACAGCACTTCTTTTACATTACAAATGACTTGCTCCTTAGATACCTATTCCTAAGACTTCTCTTTGTCAGACAGAGGTGTCCATGTATAGATGCTTAGAAACACTGTCTCATCAAGGATAATCACTCGTGCTGAGCAGAAAGCAAGCATGTGCAGCCTTCATTCTGCCCTCCAGCTACTTCCCGAGGGTGGTGTGTGCTTGTGAATTTGCTGCACCCTTCAGCAAGGTTATAGTGGGTTACTAGTGCGACTATGTGATGTTTCGTCCAAAACAGGACATTTGGAAAGTAAAAGTTATCTAAAAATAGCTAACAAGGCCCAGCCAAATAGCTCAGTGGATTAAAGCACCTGCGAGCAGGTGCAGGGGCCAGGAGTTTGATTCCTGGGCCTGTCGTGCTGGCCCTGCCCCTGGGGCACGCTGAGACTGTGACTGAGACTGGGTGTGGTGGCGCACGCCTGTAAGCCCAGCTCTTGGGAGGCTGTAAACAGACAGATCACTGTCTGTCCATCTAGTAGTTAGACCCTGAACACCCTGTAGACCCCTCCCTAAAATACAAAAAATAACAATAAAATAAAATAAGAATAAAAATAGTTAACATATATTAACTCTGCTATAGATATAATCAAGGTAAACCATGATATGCTCTATAGAAAATCTGGGTGTTCGAAGACCCTTCACATTCTTGTTACTCAAGTAGTTAGTGGGAAGCTGCTTTTCCTTCAACCCAATGCAAATTCAACATTTGTTCATCCATTCAGTAAAAAGCATCCAGGGGCCAGGGGCTGTGCAGAACACAGACCCTGTCCTCATGAAACCAACTTTCTAGTAGAGGAGGCAGAAAGTAAGCAAACACAGAATATATCATGTGGTAATAAGGTCTGAAAAGCAAAAGCAGGGTTAGAAGGGGAGAGGGAGTGAAGACTTCCGTGAGCTCCCAGGGAGGCTGTGGAGAGTGCGAGTGCCCACCTTGGTGTGGAAGCAAGCTAGGAGGCTCGGTGAGAGGACAAAGAGGAAGTTGGGGAGGGAGGGCACAGGTCACAGTGAGCCTTCAGTTCACAGAAAGTGTGAATTTTATTCCAGGATGAGAAGCCACTGGGAAGCCAATGCTGCGATCTAATCTATATTTTTGAAGAAACATCCAGGCTCATAGTAGAGAATGGATTTGTGAGATGTAAAGATGGAGAAAGGATCCAGGCTGTTATATCCATACAGGTGGGAGATGTTGGGGGCATGGATTAAGGTGGAAGCCATGGTGCAGGGGATTACACCAGCTGATCCAGGACACGAAGTGAAGACTGTGCCTCTAGCTCTTGTGGGCCAGGGATACATTGGGTGCCTACAGTACACAAGACCCTGGGACAAGCCTGATCTCAGTCATCCTCAGTACACACATGATGCCTGCCAGGGTGCTTTCTCCCTGTGTCCTAGAAGTCATTACCTGAAACCTAGGGTGGGAGAAAAGGTCTTGAACATTCTTACCTTTAGCTCTGTGATCTTCCTCCTTGGGACACTTCCCCCCTTCCCACCACTTGCGCTTCAGGATTTCAAGGCGATTGTTCTCCTGTAGTTGGAGAATGGCCAGGTCAAATTCATCCCGGAAAACTGAACCTGTAGGGTCACAAGAGAGTCCAGGATACAGGCTATGAATGCCCTCCTAGGAGCCACTCCAGTTCCCTTCCAAGCATAGGTCCTAGCTGCTCTGCCTGCTTGGACCTCAGGAAGAGGGACAGATGCGACACGTGGCCCCCGGTCACTAGACCATTGCTGCCCACTCTGCGCCATCTCCTCTACAGTAAGGAGAGCCTTCTGGCTTCCTGGGTCTCTTCTACTTTCCTTATGCCCTCATGAACTGGCACATCCAACCCACTGCCAAGACCTCAGGATGGGTCAAGTCATAGCTTTCTAGAAGGTTCCACCCCCCCCGTCCAGTTACTCCCAATTTCTAAATTAAAACAAGATGATCTACACACATTAAGTGAGCTGTCCACTGATACACAAGAAGCTTCCTTATGTCCATCTGCACGAGGTGTCCCTGAGCCTCACGGCTGCCTGCTGGATGCTCCAAAACCATTGGCCTGTCTGTTACTCTATCATCCCCACCACTCTCTCCCTCCTTAAACACAAAGCTTCTTTCTGTTCAGTACAAATAAAAATTTTTTTTGATAGAATATGGTCAAGGAGCTTTGGTTCTAGAATTAAGGTTCAATCACAAAAACAGGCTTAAATGAAACAGTGGAGAGCTCCATGTCCCACGGTTGTCTGAGGTCTGTGATCACTAAGAGAAAGCTGCCAAGAGAGTGGAAAACAACCAAGCAGTCCAGTTTCTTTGTTCAAGCTCTAGGGCAGCCTGATGTCAACAGATGCCTCAGAGGAAAAGGGTTACGGTGAAGGATTTGGGCAGAAGCCTGGAACAAAGCTTCTCAAATTCTAATGTGCATAGGGATCACCTGGAGATTTAGTGGAACTGCAAGTTCTGGTTCAGTGGGTTTGGGGTGGGGCCTGAGATTTTTGCATTTCCAAAAAACTCCAAGGTGATGCTCAGGCTGCAGGCTATGAACTACATGCTGAGAAGCAAAGTAGCAGCTCTCTCAGACCCTGGCAATCCAGGACTCATAGGGTAGAACCTCCCATACTATAGACACACCTATCCCCGACACGCCCATGCCAGGACTGCAATCATGAACGTTTCTGTATAACTGGTGCAGGTGAACACCAGCAGAACTTCATGTCATAAGCAGGCAGTTTATGGATATAAGAATAAGTTGCCAGCAGACGTAGTTAGGTGTAAGGTTCATGAACTACCACGTTTAGAGACGTCTGTCCAGCCTGTAGCACACTTTTTTTTTAAATTTTTTATTTATGTGTGTGTGTGTGTGTGTGTGTGTGTGTGTGTGTGTGTACAGCTCAGCCCACCAGGGGCGGAGCTGGCTGGCATGTGGTGCTGGGGGATTGAACCGCGGTCCCTGTGCTTTACTAAGCTTGTTCTAAGTAAGTGCTTTAGACCACTGAGCCATCTCACCAGCCCCAGAACACTTTCATTTCAAGCATTTTCTAGGCATTTTCAATCCAACCCCATAACGCACTAAGAGTCACAGGAAAGAGCTATTCTGCTTACTTTATAGTTATTCAGCTTCTAAACCACCTGACCAGTTTTGTATCTTGTTCTTCTTTCTAGTTCTCTTTATTCAGGTCAAACAACATAGCTAAGTCAAATTTAGTCCTTCACCCCACTCTTGAGAATGACATACATGCATGACCTCAGATGCAGTAAGCTGTAGGATGTCTCCTCCAGCCTCCTGTGAGAACCACAGCACATCTTCCCATCTATCCAGCCCTGTCTAGGTGGGGGATCCATTGGGCAGCATGATCTGGTCAGTGAAATACTCTATTTGAAGATAAGCCTCCCAGCCTCAAGGCAGCTTCTTTCTCTGTTCTGTAGTCTTGGACAAGCAATGTATCTGCTCTGAATCTCTGTTGTGCCCGCTATAGAACAGGAAGAACCACATATGTCTCCCAGGTGGAACGCTTAAGTGAGATGAGACATGTGAAAATGGTATCAGATTAGACACAAAATTAAAGCACTTCCCACCATTTGTCCTTGGTTATTAGGGAAAATTTCAGAATTGGTCCTTAATGATCCACAGTCAAGTTTCTAATGAAAATATTGGAATCACTTGAAAATGAAGTTGAACTCATTAAATTGCTAGACTACCACCAAGACGCATCCTAAGTTCATTGTGTGGCTCGCTCTACCGTCTTGAAAGAGAACATCAGCCAGTGTACCTCCCAAATGGGCCCATAATCTGCATACTAATGGACACTGATGCCACGTGGCCTTTAGTGGAGGATGTGCCTCATTCCAGGTATCCTGAGTGAGGCCTCCAGTTACAGAACTGCAAGTGGCAAGATCTAGAGTTCAGAGATGAGCCATTAGTACTACCTGGGTTCAGTTGCTTGGTTTCTGATCAGTAATTAAGAAGTTATTTTTTTTTTTATCAAATGACATGGGGAATTATGGGAAAGATGGGAAGGATCTTCCCACATCCTGCTAATATTCTCTCAGGCAGGACAGAAGCAAGACGCTATAACCAGATTATCAGGCTTAACCCTAACAATAGGCATTTGAAACTTAATTTTATCAATGGGATAATTGAGGCTCAGAGATGTTAAACAGCCCCTCTAAAGTACCAGGATGACAGTAAACAGGATACTTTTCCAGGCTGGTGTGACTAACACCATGCTCATTACACTCCACAGGTGTAAGTGAATTCTATAATTTACAGAGCTTGTATTTGGCTAAATATCAACAGAAGGGAAAGGCAATGTATCTACAAAGATGGGCATTTGGTGTGTTTGTGTTCTCCTGTGATCTGATGACCTCAACTCCTGCTTCTTCTGTGGATGCCTTGATAAAGAATACCCTGGGACAGAGTCACCCCTGGGCACCAGTGGCTCTCAGGGGTGCATGTTGGGGAAGGGTGTGTGCCAGAGCCACCTGGAGAACACACTCAGTTCTCTCCACAATCACAACAGCAGCTAAAAATGTTCCCCTTATCTCCTGGTGGAAGCACTACCAGCTGGGAAAGGCCCAAGAGTGAATGACCTTTAAAAAGCACAGCTAAGATACCTTTTTGGAAGCCAACTATCTCCACCCTGCTCTATAACACAATGCGCAGATGGCAACAGGCAGCAGGCTGAACACCAGGGCTTTATCATCTTTCCCTGTTACTCATGCTGACTCAGAACAGGAAGATCCCTGAAATCCACAAATAATTGAAAGCTATTTCACCAAATCGTGTCAGTAAATTTTTCAGTGGACACTGGCAAAATGCAAAATTAATCCATTCAGTTAGGTGTTACCACCTCTTCCTTCTTCCCTCTTCTAGTACAGACGTCAATCAGAGAAATGGCCGAAGAACAGGAAGCAGAATAAGAGAAGCAAGTATCCAATACTGAGTGCATCAATAAACCCTTTAATAATGAGAATGAGCCTGTAATAATGTCAATCAAATAACCAAATAGCTCTCTCATATTTATGGGCAGAGTGTTTACCACTCTGTAAAAGTTGTTTTGTTTTTACCGGAAGTCACTGTTAAACTGATTCTGGAACAGGAATCTAACTATGTATGTATGTATGTATGTATGTATGTATGTATCTATCTATCTATCTATCTATCTATCTATCTGTATAGGGCATCAAATACATGACCTTGTGCATGCTAGCCAAGCATTCTAGTGCTGAGCTACATCCCCAGCCTGAAATCCTGAAACAGGAGTTACTGAATTCAGCGTGTTCCACGGTTTTAGCTGCTCTCAGCCTGCCTGGATGAAGCTACCCGTGAGGCTGCTCCTTGCCTGCCTACCGACTGGCATGCCAATCCCATAGCCCTTGGTGTCCAGCAGGCCCCCAATCTGAGTGAGGTTGCAGTTTCGCTGCCGATAATACTCATTCATGGTGGACTCCAGCAGAAAGGCGTAGTTGGAGTTCAACACCCTGGCAATTCCCTCCTCTGTGCTCTTCACAAATACACTTGGCTGCTTGGAGTACATGTAATTCCACATGCGTTGATAGGTCTGGTAGCGGGAATTCTGGGGAGAGAGCAAAAGGAAGCGGAATTGGGAAAAGAGAAAGAAAAGAGCAAGGAATCAAAATGCGCCCTAGAATGCTGTCCCTTGCCCCGCGGGCCCCCCATGATAATCAAGAGCCTTTCCCCCTCCATCTCTCAATTCAAGATGTTCACCACCACTGCCCTTGCACAAAGACGGGGCAGCCTCTAGGTCCCAAGGCGCTGGGAATTCTGGACACAGGTTTGATTACCAGTTCCGCCACATCAACCCTAGAGATCTGTCAATGACAGCTTCCTTTTGCTGGCATGAAGTCCTGGCTATGTCCCTTCATCATCTCTCAGTTTGGAGCAGGAAATTCAGGTTCATTCAGGACTTAGAACGCCACCAGCAGAAGCAGTGCAGTTATTTGCCATCTACTCTGAAACAATTTGTCTATCACATAGCCAGTGCTGGCTTCTATTTACCAATCATAAGACAGAATTCTGGGGGTCTATCCCAACTGTGTGCTTACAAGATGCTTTCTACAGTCTCTGCACCAACAGACTCTGAGACTTGCATGGGAAACAGAAAATGGAAGGACTGGGGCTTGCTTAATGTGAAAATGAGCTTCTTCTACGTTAGGCTGGCTGGACACCCACTGGCCCCAGGGGAAATCTGCTTCCCTTGAGATCTTGAAGCCTAGGAAACTACTGTTCTGCCTGGCCTCGTTCTGTCAGCCTTGGAGATCAAGCAGCTTGTCAGTCAGCGAGCACATTATGGTGGCAGCGCCTTCTCCTCAGCCTGGAAAGGAATCCCAAAGGAGCGAAGCGGCGCCCCCATGTGAGGCCTACCAGCCAGGGATCAGTGATCCCAGTCGATCTTAGTCAAACTGTGTTCCTCAATAATCAGCCATTTGTGTTACTAAGACCTATCTTGTTTGGTCTTAGGAACACCTAATACACTACCTCATTTCTTAAAATTTAAATATATACTTCAGTTCCACCCTACACAGCAATGTAAATAAAACTATAGATTTAATTCACAGCATATTTTTCTAATGTACATAAAACAAACATGAAGCTATTACATTCAAACAAAGTCCCAGGGACCGGGGAGATAGCTCAATAGAATAAGCGCTTGCCTGGCAAGCATAAGGGCCTGAGTTCAATCCCGTTCTGAAAGCAAAACAAAACAATTTTAAGCTCTTCCTGTTAGTGGTCTGAGGTGACCTGTGAAAATGGTTCATTATTCTCTCGACCCAGAAAACCCCACAAAATCATGCAAATCAAGAGGCTCAAATCTTCACGTCCATAATAAGAACACGCGTGAAACTGCCCAGGCCACCAAGGGTATGCATATCTGAAAGGCCACCAAGTATCCGAAGGATGTCACATTAAAGAAGCAGTGTGTACCATTTCGGCATTACAATGGTGGAGTTGGTAGGTGTGCCCAGGCCCAACAGCGGGGCTGGACACAGGGTCGGTGGCCCAAAAAGAGTGCTGAATCTTTGCTGCACATGCTTAAAAATGCAGACAGTAATGCTGGACTTAAGGATTTAGATGTAGATTCTCTGATTACTGAACATATCCAGGTGAACAAAGCACCCAAGATGTGCTGCCGTACTTACAGAGCTCATGGCTGGTTAATTCATCCATGAGCTCCCCCTGTTAGCTACCAAAGGAGCTCCCAATCTGTTAGGAACAAATTGTTCCTAAACTAGAGGAGGAAGTTGTACAGAAGGAAAAGATATCCCAGAAGAAACTGGAGAAACAAAAACTTATGGCATGGGAATAAATTAAGCATAAAATAAATGCAAATAAAATTAATGTTGTCTATTAGTAAAAACAAACAAAAGCCCCCAACAAAGTCCCATCATGTTAAACATAAAATCATCTCCAGTACTAACAACTGTCCAGGTACATCACTCTAGGATAGGCTAACATTAACCCAGTGTCCTTTGGGGGCTTCCTTCTGGCTCATTTTGTGGAGGAGGAGAAAAGTGAGCCCCGGGTAGATGTTCAAAAGAGATAATGAGATGAGATGTTTTTATCTCCAGCACACAAATATCGCAACTTTATTCTGCCCGGTCCTCAAGTGAGGCTTACTTGGAAGAAGGTCATGCTGGAGCCTCCATGAATTGTGCCATATTCAATGGCAGTCTGGTCAGCCAGGTCATCCACTGACTCAATGGGCACATCCATACGCTGCACAGTCAGAAAGGCTGCCAGGTTGGCCGTGTAGGATGAGATAATAATCAGTGTGAACGCCCACCTGCGTAGGAAAAGACCAGGAAGTCACTGTCTGGGCACTCCCATTTGTCTTGGTCCCCAAGCCCAGTCTGGCTGTGACACAGGAGAGACCAACTATCTGTCTATTAAAGGAGCTCTTAGTGGGGGAAGAGAAAGGGGGCAGGGTTTACGATGTAGAGAGAAAGTAGACTGAGTTTGTGAGTGTTGCCTGGAAAAACACAATTGACTCTTCTTTCCTGTTTTTGAAAGGAGGTAATTATTGGCTGTTACTCAAAAGCTGTTGAAGGCCATGCACATGAGCCAGCCTGGGGACCATGGGAAGTAAGCCGGTGCATGAGCTGAGAGCTCCGACTTGGAGCACTCTGTGCAGAGGTACAACTGGGCTGTCTACCCACCTCCTCAGGTGGAAGGCAGCCTTCAGCTGTGAACGGCAAGGCACTGTGCACGTACTGCTCAACTGCCCCTCCACAATCCCTGCAACTCTAGAGGGCAGGGAAGTGCAGCTGGGAAAATGAAGTGGCTTACCAAGTAACACGCTGATATGTATCTATTTTGGAACCAGTTCTATAAATCTTGATAGAAAGTCTTTAATGAAGACAAACTGTTGAAAAACACCTTCCAATCGCTAAAATGTTAGAATTTGACAATACTCTTTTTTCTTTGGAGACAGGGCCTCTCTGGGGTCCAGGCTGGTCTTGCATTCACTATGTAGCCCAGGCTGTCCTCATATTCATGGGAATCTTCCTGTCTCAGCCTCCCAAGTGCCGGGATTACAGGTGTGCACCATCACACTGGGCTGAAAATACTCTTACAATGGTCATGCAACCTCAAACTATAAGACTTCTATTGAGTTGTTACAGCCCATTTAGTTAGAAAAATTTTGCAATGCAAGTAGAATATATGCTAAAGCCACTAACTATAGTTTCTTCCCCTAGGTAGATTAAACAAGCTTTGCTCATCTGGTTAACAGTATGGATCTGCATCCCAATACTTTTGGTGTAAGGGGTTCAAAGAGAGGCTCAGCACAATTCAAGTCGAAGAACCACAATTCTGAATCAATGAGATCTAAATTCACAAGCCATCACTTCTCATAGACATTGCTGGCTAATGTATATGCCACAGGACTCAGCAGCTGGTAGCCACCAGGTGGGTTTTCAAGAGCAGCAAGTGCCACTGCCTCTCATGCCACTGTCATTAGGCACTTGTGCTGGCTGCCTCCCCAGGGGTGAAGCAATGAGGGACTCTCTTAGAGCACAGCTAGCCATCGATAGATTTTTTATGCTGCCAGTGAGGTGAATGGGCTTTCAATTCTGGTCCTATTCCACCTACAAGATCACAGGGAAGGCTACTTCAAGCTCATCTGTCTAATGGGACTCATAATGCTTGCTCTGCCAGTCTAAGGAGAGGTGTGACATCAAGGGAGGTGGTATATCCTCAGTGATCAGTAATCTGTAAAGGACTTTATGAACGGAAGAGACACAGGGAAACATAAAGAAAGACCCTAATTAGAGATAGCTCAGGGGACTAAAGCGCCTGCTTAGGTAAGCTTAGGCAAGTGCAGGGACCACAGTTCAATCCTGGTGCCAACCCTGCCCCTTGGGTGGGCTGGGCCTGCTACAGAGTCTGGGGTGTTGTGACGTGTGCCTGTAATCCTAGCCCTGGGGAGGCTGAAAACGTGAGGATCACTATGAGTCTGAGCTGCGTAGTGAAACGCTGTAACAACCAAATACATTTTGAAAAAGAGAGAGATCCTCAGCCAGTATACAAGGGAAAATCACTTGCTACCTCCTTGTATCTTTCCCATGTGAAACCTACAGGTGGAAGGTGTCCCTCCCTGCTCAAGACCTGCTCTCTTTGCTCCTGGTTGCTGACTCCCACCCTGTTGCTTCCAAAAACCCTGTTGTTTTTTGTGATCATTCCCAGGAACAAGCCAGTGTTTTCCTGCTACTTAGCTGCACTGATGAAAGCTGGGATCATTGGGCACTGGGTGGGGCCATGGCCTCGGGGTTGGCTGGGAGTTTCCTGTCTCATCCACCGGGCTCCATTATGACATCTGTCCCACCTTGGGTAGCCTTGTGGCACTTGAGGCCTCAGGTCATAGGGGAAGGGTCAGAGAGCCTAGGTAGCTCGATGCATGCCTGTCATCAACTTTGTAAGGAGGAAAAGGATGCTCGTGCAGTTTCCTGGGGTTGGTAGAGCCTGGCTCCTATGTGAAAGGAGCATTATAAGTTGTGATGTTGGTATTCTTGTAAGTAGCATGGCATTTTCTGTCAGCTGGTCTGGTGAGAAGGCCAGGGCAACCCTGTCTTCTGACCTCCCAAACCCCAAGGAACTGACCAAACCATGGACTTGATTTAGTGAGGGACCAGTGAGCACCCCTCATAGTGGCTCCCCTTTACTGCCAAGGCCCCTTCCCAACACACTCTGGGACACGGTGACCAAGCCCCTTGGGCCAGCCTTTTAGGACAGTACCCTGCAGGACTCATGCCTCTGAAGCTCTCTAGAGGATGGGTACAGCTTGGAGAGGGCTGCCATGTTGATGAAGCAGATAGTGGGGCCATGCTGTACCAACAACCAGGGCCACCCTGTGGACAGAAGAGCCCCGGGTACTGAGAGGTCAGCATCCTCAGCCAATGGGTGCTTATGTCTCAGTACATCTGCTATGATTCCCTGAATTTTGAGGGACCACTGGGATGACCTCTGCCAAGCTATTCCTTTTTCCTGAGGACAATGAGTCACAGTTCTCTGAATCAATCTACTCAGTACCTTCTTAGCAATATCTGATAATAGGTGAGCATTTTGCTCCAATTGTTGTGCTACATAGTACATTGTACTACATGTGTTATTTATCAAGGAAGTGGGTATTCTAGATAGGAAAGGCTGCTGCCCCAGTGACCAGCCCCACCTGTGCTCCTGTGTGACCTCTGCACAGACCTCCCTTGACCTGGGCAACAGGACCCACAGGACGAAACACCAGCTTCCCTTTCCTTCAGTCTAGTCAGCCTGAAAAGCAGGCAAGGGGACTGAGTATGTTAAGCCCTGTAAGTTGTGGTAGCCAAACTGAAACTGGATTTTTAGAGATCAGAAACTATCCCTCACAAGCTCGCCCCTCTACATCTATAATATATATGTCATTTCCTCCATACTGCCTAATGAAAATCATTAGCGCATGCATTCATGGTGAGAACACATTCAAGTTTTCTTTTTTTCTTTTTCTTTTTTCTGTATTTTAGAGACAGATCTACAGGGTGTTCAGGGTCTCACTTTAGATTGGACTCATAGTGATCCTCCTGTTTACAGCCTCCCAAGTGCTGGGATTATAGGCACATATCACCACGCCCAGTCTCAATCCCAGTCTCAGCATGGCAGGCCCAGGATCAAACCACCAGCCCCTGCGCCTGCTTGCAGGTGCTTTAATCCCTGAGCTATTTGGCCAGCAAACACATTCAGGTTTTCAAAGAGCTTCTCTACCCTGTAAATCATTTGCCCTTTGCCAAGTGTCTAAAGGTCTGCATTTTCCCACACCTGCTGAGGTAAACAGGCCAAGCGCCCAGAGGCATGGGGACAAAGCTCCAGACACCTGGGAGGAGGTGTGATGGGGCAGCCTCCTCCGGGAGGGACAAGTTGCTGGGAGCTCGTATTTACATACATCTGCACATGCCTTGCTGGCCTGGCCACTCAAAGCACAGGTTATTTTCAGGGTAGGAAGTCGTCTATGCTTGGCTGTGGGCCTTAAAGGCCGTCTTCTTGCTCTTCCTTCCAGCCTGGGCTCTCTTCTGTATCCAGATCTCAGAGGCAGAGTAAAGGGAGCCACAGAGATAACTCAGAGGGGGTTTTGTGCACTGTCTGCAATCTTTAGAGCTGGCAATCAGTAGCTAAGCTCCCTGCTGGGGCACCATGAAAGGCAGAGGTTTTAGGGTTTGCCTGTTAGGGTTTCTAAGGCTCCTGGCTACGTGCAGTAGATCAGGGCTTAACGGCGGTCCTCTTTTTGCTCCCATGTATCGTGGTTCCACTCCCCCTCAGCCCCGGCCCTGTCTCCTGCAGGACCTTACCAGACTCCACTGACACAGCGGGTGGATAAGGCGCGAGGGGCGATGGTAGAGCCCTGCTGCATGAAGCCCCCAACTGGAAACCAGAGGCTGTTGCCGAGGGAGTACTGGTTCACTAGCAGGTTGCATCGGCCCTGGGCGCACGGGTGAGGGCTATACCACTCGTAGGGTGTCAGCCTGCAGGAGAAAAGGAACATACACCAACACTGGGGGAACAGGGTGAGAAAGGGTGCTGGGCAGTGGGGACCAACTCTGCCTTCTGACCTCACTGCTGGGCCCCAGCCACTGGTCCTGTTGCTTTGGCCCACCTTCTTCCTTTTGTTGAATTTGAATACCCTCCACCACCACCACCACCACCACCACCACCACCACCACCACCACCACCAAAAAGAGATGTAATGGTACAATTGCACTAGGTTGGTTGACCTCACACTATTTTCTTTAAAGTTAGACTTTTGTCCTCAAATAAATTCTGATGTGGAACTCCAGTAAACAAAACATTAAAGGTGGAGCTCCTTGGCAGGGGCTGGGAGCATCAAGGCCTGGGAAGCCAATCAAGTTGCTTGTTTGTCTATTTCAAGTTCAGGGGGGATCAGGAAAGAACCCTAGGGCCCCACAGAACCAGGATGTAAAAACCCTCAGCCTCGTTCTGCAGCTTCAGCCGATACTGGACTCACCGAGAAGGCTTATTAAAATGCAGATGCTACACTCTGCCCCCAAAGCTTCTGGGTCGGGGAGTACCAGTAAGGCCTAAAGACCTGCAAGCACCCGGGCGAGAGCGATGCCTGCAGCTCCAGGTCCATCCTGAGAAGTAGGGGCTCACACTCCCAATAGACAGCTTCTGGGGCCCCGGCCCTAGACATTCGGAGACACCGGAGCGAGGAATTCAAAAGTTTAAAAGCTCCTGGTGTGTCTCTGATGATCAGATGGCTTGTGAATGACAGTAGTTTTAAAACACTTTTTCCCTCTAAAATCTTATCCAGAAGTACAACACACAGAGATAAAAGCAGAGCTGGATCTGGAAGATGAGGCGTAGGGGCCTCAGAGCTGCAGTCGCCCCCGCTACCAAGTCTCTGGCAGTTCACAGCAGCCGCTGTGCCACATAAATCCTGCTTGAGGCCACTGTGTTAGGATGGAATAGCCTATGCTTGGATATTCACACATTCTCCATGTGTGGGTGTGTCTCTGTGTGTGAATGTGTGCAGTTAGTGCTTTATACAGTTTTTGCTAGTGTTTTTGGTAACACAGGATGAGTGAGTAGGTATGGAGAGCAGGGGAGTGTGGTGGTGTAGCCCCGAGGGCAGGGTTAGGCTGTCTTGGGCATGCTGAGGAGAGCTGTGTGTGTGTATCTGCTGATCAACCCAAGCACCTTTCCAGGGCCCTAAGGTGACCTGGGAGCTGTGGCATGACACGCCCAGGGGCTCAGTCGCAGGAGCCAGAGGGAATCACAGAGCAGTGGAGCTGGCCGCGTGCAGACAGCTTCCTAAAAGCAGCACAGACAGCGCTGCGAAGTGGAGAGCAGAAGTGTCAGACGGCACGCGAGCTCCCGCGCCTCGCCAGCTGTCACTGACAACAGACACTTGACAGTAGCAAGCGCGAGCCCACGAGGCCCGCAAGGGGTAGGTGGCATGAGAGCAGCGAACTCAGCTGCCTCGGGAGACTGCCAGGTTGTGAGCAAGGCCACTCTTGCCAGGCTGGTCCTGTGGGCCCAGATGACCTTCCTCACTGTGGCCTTGATCTCCACCAGAAGAGTCACACAGGGCGATGCAGCAACGTGGCTCCACTTGGGCAGGAGGGGAACTGGCTTGGGAGTTAGGCACTCTAAGGCTCAGGACCCTGATGCTGCCTCTCCCAATCAGAAGGAGCATGTGCTCCCCTTGTCCGCTGAATGCTCTTGGCAAAGAGCCCACTTGCAGCAGCAGAGCACACTACAGAATCATCCAGCCCTGCCACTGTGGCCTAGATGCAAAAGACAAGCGAGGGGACACTTGCAATAGATCTCCATCAGATTTTTATGAGCTCATTTATGAGCTCTGCCCCATACAACTGAGGCAGAGGGCTGAGCAGGGAGTAGGGACTTCAGTGAGTGGCCTGGGAAGACCAGGGCTTGTTTCACTTCTGCATGGTGAGTTCCTTCTGATTCCTTCAGAGTCCCAGGTTGGCCCAAAAGCCCTTAGACTCAGACAGAAGCAAGCCCCTTTGCACACACTCTTGAGGGATCAAAGCTCAGGGACACCTCTGGATTCTTTGCTAGGCGAGGGTAGTTTCTAGCTTCTGGGGCTAGGGGAGGGCTCATCCTCTCCAAGCTCTAGTCTGGACCATTCGTCTTAACTTACTACCCCAAAAGGCTTCTCTCCATCCTGTCCTCGTGCTGCCCGCCACCCTCCAATGTCATATCCAACAAGACAGCTGTGTTTTCAGAGACAGATGTAAGCTCTGGTTTCTCCCTGGCTTGTGCCACTACAGTCTCCAGGGCCGCCTCTCCGGATGCTCAGTCTGTTTCTTGTCATTTAGCCTTTGTGGCAAATCTCGGTGAGGACTGATGCCAGGGTAGCCAAATGCAGCATTTAATCAGACTGACAGTCCTGTCGTGCTCGCCTTCCCAAGGCTGGTATTGGAGCAGGGGGCCACAGACTGGGGACTGGGAGGGAACCTGAGCTGGCAGTGTAGAAGCAAATCCAGTCTGCACTGTGTACGTCAGGGAGAGCACAAATGTGTAGATAGATCAATGGGCAGTGTGAGGTCAACACCGGGGCAGAGAGCATTTCTGGGCCAGAGCCCCTCTCCCGTTCCTCTAGTTTGCACAAAGGTCTCAATGGCCCCTCTACTCCCCACTCCTGCCCCATGCAGTTCTCGGAGGTGGACACGAGGTGGCGGTGTGAGGACAGGGAAGGGCAGCGGAGAGTACCGAGCCACGAGGAAGAGGACACAGCTGACAGCCAGATAGGCGAGAAGCATGAAGAGCCAGACGCCTGGAGAAAAGGGGTCCAGGAAGGAGAAATAGCCCGGTCTGCGTCCCTGGAATGGAGATGAAAACATGGTTCACCATACACATTCAGTCACAACTGCCCTGGGGCAGCACGAGGCAGGGCAGGGTGAGCGCAGGTCTGGCCCCAGATCACATCTGTTTGGGCTCTGAGTGTTGGTTTGAAGGACTGTAGGTTTGAAGATACAGCAGGGGCCGCTCCCGAATACACCCCCTGCCCTGAGCTCTGTGGATAACTCAGAGCTAGGGAGTGGGAGGGTCATGTCCAGGCATGAGAAGGCTCTGTGCTAGGAAGGTAGACCGGCCTCAGTACCCCCGCACAGCACCTAGGGGACAGCGTGCCCGGCTCAGGAGGCCCGCTGAGCTGCTGATGTCTGCGCGCTGGAGGCTGACATCAGCACCTCTCTTCCTATTCGAGTGTTTCTCAGGAGTATGCTAATACACAGAGACCTTCTCACATAAACCTCCACCGGTCCTGGGAGGCACAGCTTATTATTTTCATTTACTAAGGGAGAAACCAAAGCCCATGTCCAAGGTCACAGTGCTCTAAGTGGAAGACGGGAACCCAAACACACATCTGACTCAAAGCCTAGGGCTTGTCCCACTGTGCCACAGGCAAATGCACCTATCCCAGGTCCATCGGTGTGCTTGCCTACAGGGTGAAGCAGGAGCAGAGACTAGACACCAACCTTCCACCATCTTCCCCAGGAAAACAGCACAAACGAAGAGTTTTCTGTGCATCTTAGTTGTGTGGTTTGGAGCAAGTCCTCCTCTGGTCTCAGTTGAGCGGGCTTGGTCAGAACCAACCTACTGGTGCCTCTGGACTGCATATAGCCTACAGCCTTGCTTTATTTACCCCAAAGTATTACTTTTTTGAGATAGGGCCTTATGGGGCCAGGGAGATAGCTCAGTGGAATAAGTGCTTGCCTGGCAAGCACAAGGTCCTGAGTTTGATCCCCAGTACCACAAGAGAGAGAGAGAGAGAGAGAGAGAGAGA